TGTACAGCAAATGTTGAGGGTTCAATTCCTGGTCAGGACACATACCCAGGTTGTGAGTTTGATCCCTGGTCAGGTTACATATGGGAGGCAACTGATAGACGTTTCTTTCTCACATTGATGTTTCCCTTTCTCTCTCAAATCAATAACATATCCTTGGGTGAGGATTTAAAAAAAAAAAGAAGAAAATCACTTGAAGTACTATTGTCCCAGCCTCTGGAGTAGCAGTTTACATAGTTGAGTCATTGACATTTTTTTTTTAAATGTCTTTGAGATATAATTCACATACCATAAAATCTATCCATTTAAATTGTTCAGTTCATTGGTATTTAGTATATTTACAGAATTTTGCAACAATCATCACAATCTAAGGTTAGAACATTTTTATCACTTTTAAAAAAAATGGAGGCAAAATTTATATAATATAAAATTATCCTCCTTAGAGCATACATACAGTTCAGTGGTGTTTAGTGTTGGGCAATTACCAGCTCTCTGGTTTCAAAACTTTTTAATCCTATTTCCACTAAGTAATCACTTCCCATTTTCCCCTCCCTCCAGAATGTCCATCAGCAGATGAGTGAATAACCAATGGAATATTGTTGAGCTATAAAACGTAAATTTAGTCCTGATATGTATTGCAACTTTGGTGAACCTCGAAACATTCTGAGTGAAAGAAGCCAGTCATGAAAGGTCACATCTTGTATGATCCCATTTGATCCCATAATATGAAATGTCCAGAATAGATAAATCACCATTAACTTTTGCAGACAGTGTTTTAGACCCTGACTCTGAGGGCTCTAGGTCCAGGTATCCTCTTTCTGACTTCTTGTTCTTGGCAGGCAGCGTTGCTAATGGTGACCTCAGGCTTAGAGTCAGACCTAGAGCTCAGTCATGTTCTTCCAGTTCTAGCAGTGGGCTGTGGGCAAGCCACCTGTGCTTTTTCTGTCCACTTCTTTTGTTTATAAAGTGGAAAGATATACAGTTCCACCTAGTTACCCATGTAAAGCACATTGCATGACACATTCTTATTGTCACTATCTTTATTATTACTTTTCTCATGGTCCTTACTTTCCTGCTGAGGACCTCTCAGGTTGTATTAGCCTGCTGTTGTGTGGGTTCATAACTGATCTATGCCAAGTATGCATTTTCATGCACTGTATAATCTTGTACCTTTGATTGCCATCAATCAGTCACCTTAGAAAGAGGTTGTGTGGTCCTGAGCTTTGGAGACAGGGCTGGGAAGGAGGGGTTGTCCTGTTTTTTGCTTTTTCTTCCTGGCCACCTGTCTTTATCCAGGATCCTGGGCTCTTTTGGCTTCTTTCTACCAGGTCCGTAGGACTGGACCACCTCCTTTCCCAGCTAGCAAAAGGGGTAAAGACTGACAACTTGGCAGTTTACCTGGACAAGGGTGTGAACCCTATATGACTGAACAGAAGGAATTTAGGAACACAATTTGTTTTTTCTTTTATGAGAAGTAAAACAGACATTGATTATGATTCTCACTGACAAAGGAGAAATATGAAAGGAAAATAGAACTGGTTAGCATGGTCCCTTATGCTGTCCTTCTCAGGAGGAGAAAGAAGCAAGAAGAAACCAGGCTGTACCTTCAAGTCTGCTTGTAAATTTTCTCAGCTAAATGTTCTGGTTCATTATTTACAAGTTCTGCTTTCCACATTACTGCAGGAAACAATTCAGCCAAGCTTTCTGCCACTATATAACAAGAATCTACTTCCCTCCAGTTTCCAGTAACTTATTCCTGACATCCTTTGGAGCTATCACCAGCAGCACATCCAGTGTTCATATTTCTGCTAACAGTCTGTTACTGATGATATAGGTATTCTTTAAGATGATAGTGTTTCTCTACCATGCTCCTTACTCATTTCCTTTGATCCTTTGCTAGCCAAGTCTGTAACATTCATTTTTATACCAACAGTCTGTTCAAGGAAATCTAGACTTTTTCTGTCCTGTTCCTCAGAATTCTTCTATCCTCTACCCACAGCCTGAATCCAAAGCTACTTCCACATTTCAGGTATTTGTTACAGCAGCGTCTCATTTTCAGGTAATAAAATCAGTTTACAGTAATGATAAAAATATATTAGTTTCTATTGCTCTGGTGATAAATGATCACATACTTAGTGACCTAAGCAACACATTGATTATCTTAGAATTCTGGAGTTCACAAGTCCTGGACAGGTCACCTTGCTCAAATCAAGGTGTTGCATGGCTCGGTTCCTTTATGGAGGTTCTAGGGGAGAACCTGTTTCCTGCCCAGTCAGATTGTTGGCGGAATTCAAACACTTTTTAGTTGCACTGTCCCAAATGTCATCAGGGTGACATGCTATGAAGGCCTCTCCCTCACCCTTCCTTTTTCTTTTATTCTCTTTTATTCCCACTTACCCCTGTAGAAACAGAATGGTTTATTTTATTTTCTGCTTTATTCATTTAATAAAATCATGCATGTTCAGAGCTGGGAAAAACTTTGAGGTTCTCTGCCCCACACACATTTACACATTGGGGGGTCTGTGGGCTTTGGGTGAAGAAACTCATGTACAGTGGCTTGACTGGTTGTTGGGAAGTTAGGACTGGTATCCAGGCCCCTACATTTCTATGTGGACAGGTTTATGCAGCAGAAGATTATCTTGTCAAAATCAAGCAAACACTGCCCTTAAGTCATTTGTTTTATTAAGTGTGAGTCTTGATTTTTTTCTTTCTTTGTTTTTCATCCTCACCTGAGGACATTTTTCCATATTTTGTTCAGATAGAGTGGGAGGGAGAGAGAGAGAGAAACATTGACGTGAAAGGGACACATCGAGTGGTTGCCACCATGACCCAACCAGGGCCGGGGACAAACTGCAATCGAGGTACATGCCCTTAGCAGGAACCAAACCCGGGTCTCTCTGGACCGCAGGCTGATGCTCTAACCGCTGAGCCAAACCGGCCAGGGCTTGATTTTTTTCTTTAACTCACTTTTTTTTTTATTCTCACCCGAGGACATTTTTTGATATTTTGTTCAGCTAGAGTGGGAGGGAGAGAGAGAGAGAGAGAGAGAGAGAGAGAAACATCAACGTGAAAGGGACACATCGAGTGGTCGCCACCCACATGACCCAATCAGGGCCGGGGACAAACTGCAAACGAGGTACGTGCCCTTAGCAGGAACCGAACCCGGGTCTCTCCAGACCGCAGGCCAATGCTCTAACCGCTGAGCCAAACTGGCCAGGGCTTTTTTTTTTTTTTTTTAAATAGGAAAAGATTCTCCATCTTAGGAGCTCGTGATTTTATTCACTTTAAGTTATCTTGATATCAAGTGTTTAGTAAATTTGAATCTACTTAATGTAAGCAAATAATGATCCTGTAAAGTTTATTTAGTAGCTAGAGGCTAAATGTGCTCACTTTTTTTTTTTTTTTTTTAATAAGATGAGTAATGATATATGTGAGGATTGTTTGAGAAACTTTTAGTCACTGTGGGTCATTTGTCCAAAAACTTAATGTAAGATTCCCAAGGCAGCTTTCAGATCTTCCCAGGGTTTTAGTAGTGATGACTTGAAATTGTAATTTTATAGATCTTTGGAAATAACTGTCAATATCTGTCAGACTCAGGTGGAAGAATTGGGATTGCCTTTTGAGTTCTTAAAAATGTGATCAGTAAATGACTGGGGAATCAGATGCTCAGGAAGTTGTTTTCTTCCTCTGTTTCATAAATTTGTTTCTGTCTCTTTTATTCACAGAATATGAGAGTCTTAGGGACACAGTGTACTGAGTGTTGCTGCTTTGAATCTATGTACAAAGAAATAGTGGCTTTTGGGAAACACCTGTCTTCTCTATAGTTGATGTATCTCCCTTCCTTTATTGTAACTCTTTATCCCATTACTTGTGGTGCTCATCAATGCTTTGAGTTTTCCCTCTTTAAAACTGCTGGAGGAGCCCTGGCCGATTTGGCTCAGTGGTTAGAGCGTCGGCCTGCGGTCCTGAGAGACCCGGGTTCGGTTCCCGCTAAGGGCGCGTACCTCGGCTGCAGTTTGTCCCCGGCCCTGGTCGGTTGTGTGGGTGGCAGCCACTTGATGTGTTCCTTTCACATCGATGTTTCTCTCTCTCTCTCTGTTCCTCTCTCTCCCTCCCACTCTACCTGAACAAAAAATGGAAAAATGTCCTTGGGTGAGGATAAAAAATAAATAAATAAATAAATAAAATAAAACTGCTGGAGGATTCAAGATATAGCCTTTCATACTATCTGGAAAATAAGAGTGTCCCACACAGCCCAGCTGATGTGGCTCAGTGGTTGAGCATCGACCCATGCACCAAGAGGTCGCCAGTTTGATTCCCAGCCAGGGCACATGCCCAGGTTGTGGGACCAATCCCCAGTGGGGGGCACTCAGGAGGCGCCAATCGATGTTCTTTCTCATCAGTGTTTCTATCTCTCTCTCCCTCTCCCTTCCTCTCTCTCTAAAAATCAATAAAGAAAAAAAAATTCTAAGAAAGATTTCTTTTTTTTAGATTTTTTTTTTCTTTATTGATTTTTAGAGAGAGAGGAAGGGAGAGGGAGAGATAGAAACATTGATGAGAAAGAACATTGATTGACTCCCTCCTGCATGCCCCTCACTGGGGATCGAGCCCACAACCTCGGCGTGTGTCCTGACTGGGAATCGAACTGGCAACCTCTCGGTGCATGGCTCAACGCTCAACCACTGAGACACACTGGCTGGACTAAGAAAGATTTTTATATATATACATATACATATATATATATATATATATATGTATATGTATATATATATAAAGAGTGCTCTACACAACTGGAATATTAAAAAAAAAGAACAAAATCTTGTTTGCCAATCCTAGCAAAGAGTGCTAAACTTTAATCAATCGCAAGCCATAGAAGTCGATGGCCCTATAGTGGGGACACTGGGTGAGAGGCCTGCTCCTGCTGAAAAGGCTGTAAAACCAGCCAAGCTTGTCATTGACTGACACTCTGCTGATTGCCTTTGTATATACTTCATTTCTGGCAGCTCCTTTAGCAGCAGAGTTTTCCGAGTGACCTTTTTGATGCTGGCTGTTTCCTTCACCGTTCCTCTGCTTGGAGCCATGATGCTGCTAGATTCTCCCATAGATCCACAGCCTCTCAGGTGAGCTGCCCCAGCAATTTTTGGGAGGGTTTGCTCAGCAAAATGTAATAGGCTACAATGATTTCTAGAATAATTAAACCAATCTCATCTGAAAGTTATAAGAACTAGCGATTTGTGATTTTTTTTGTGTGCCTGCATTTTATGTTGAATTAGTTGTTCCACAGAATATATGTATGGTACTGCCCTTGTTATTGTTTAAATAATAAAACTGGGAGGGGAGGGAAGAGGAGGGAGAGAAGGTAAATAAAATTAATTGATTGGTTAATTAATTAATTAAAAAAAAACTATATAAACCAAAAACAAAAATCAGAAAAATCCCAAATGATAGAAGCTTAAGTGTTAGACACAGTTAACCTGAATTTGTATGAAGTGGCAAAAGCACATACAAATGAAGATTAAATTTAAGTTATTTTGTTTAAATTTTCTAAGTAACTGATTAAAAAAAAAAAGCAACTTGTAATTAGCCACCTTTTTTCCCTAAGTTACCTTTCATCTTTGGGGATTTATGAATAAAGCAGTTCATTATAACTTGAAAAAGTAGTATATACCTAGGGGATCCCATGAAGTATATTCATATTTTTAATTATAATAATACCGATGTGATTTATGACATTGATGTCAAGGTGGTATAAGAGTGTTGTGCAGTCTGGTTCAGTAATTTTCTATTTTCCCTTGCAACTGCCTGGAGGGTTGAGCTGTCTAAAGTTTATTTTACGTGAGTTAGTCCATGTAAGATTTTAAAAACTTAAGAAAGAACCACATCTTATTATAGAGTAAATGTAACATATATACTGTATAGTGTGATGATGTTATGTAAATAAAACTTAAGGTTTTAAATTGGGTTTAATTCACTAAAAATGTATTCAGCACTAGTATGCTTGAGACAGGTATCAGTTAGGATACAAAGAGAACACAGTTCTGACCTTAAATTGATATACGTGTAGAAGAGTCAACATTTTGTTGTTGGATTTAGAATTAGTAAAGATATATGGTGTTAAAACACAATTAGCTTGTATACGATTGAGAATGGGTGAAGGCCTGGGCACTATAGACTCATAAACATGTTTGCTCTGTAATTTCTGGTGTGTCATTATTTCCTTGCAGATGTCTTTCCTCCCAAAGACATCCTGGATGTTCTTTCTGAGAGGGTTCTAGGAAACTCTGAGGGGAGGGGCCCCTTTCTTGCTAATAGAAACTGGCCTGGACTTTTCTGTTCAGTTGGCAAGGTGAGAAAATGAACTGAGTCCACAGCTGGGGATCAAAGTCTGGGCTGGGGAGCTAGTCCTGGGAAGGAGGAGGAAAGTGGAGCAGATAAAGATGGAGTTTTTGAGTTGGCGTGGGAGGGATGGAGCTTACGTGACTGAAGACCTTTGATCTTAATAAACGTGTGGAAAGAGTGGTGAAGAAATTCAGAGGAAAGATGGGTGTGTACTTATTGCCAGAAACTGAAAGGAAACATGGCCCAATAAGGATTTGAAGTTGTGCAAGTGAGGACTGCCTCCGGAGTAGAAGAGTCTGATGAGGAAGGAATGGGGGAGGGGAGGGAATCCTAGTGAAATCATTGTGGCTAACAGGATCTCTTCCACAGGCTCAGATTTAGGGAATGACTTGCTCAAAAATTGAAAGCATGGGCCCCAAAGTGCAGAACAAAAGCAGAAGAATGGCAGGACAGAAATTAACTGAGGTTTGGGAAAAATGCTAATGACAACAGCAAAAAAGCCTTCTTTAAAACTCTCTTCAGAGTGAAAAGAGTAAGGAAGTGGAAGATGCACTTTCTGGGTCTAGTGATTTAGTGTTGAGGACAGGAAAGCAAAGTTACTGGCTTATGCTCTGTCTCAGTTATCTCCCAGCCAAGGGGGAGCTCCATGGTCTATGGGATCAGGCCAAGTGGCAGGGTGGAAGGTCAGCAATGGCAGTACCTTGGGGAGTCTGCTTTTGTTAACGGATGAGATGGGGGGGGGGGTCCTCTTCTCCATTGGGTGCTGCTGGGTGTAAAGTCCTTATGATATCTTGAGAAAAAAAATTTTCTGAGACTCACATGGGAGAACGAGTGATTTTTTATTTACATGGAGTTAAATTCCTGGGTTTTCAAAGTTCTGTTTCCCTTCGTCCAGTCATAGAAGAAGTGTAGCTGGTGTTTTAGTAAAGGTAGAAGAGTGTTCAGAGTTTCCATTCCATGTTGCTTCCTGATCCAGTATAGCATAGGCTAGCTGCAATCCATTAGTCTAGTCCATTGTGTATGGGGGTCCAAATGGTGTGGGCCACCTGGGAGAATGGAGGAGAGTGTGCCCAAAACAACAAGAGTCTAAAAGGTACTGAAAGCACAAGAGAGCACATTGCTTTGTTCAGGGGATTAAATATCCCAAATCTTCATGCCCTTGTAGTGGCCATACCCATTCTGGCCAACCATCTCTGTCCCTAGGTGTGACTGACAGTAAGCCCCTTCCCTATGTCATCCCAACTCTACTGGGCATATGTCTGTCTTCCTTTTGTCCAGTCCCCTATGGAGTGTAAAGTTGTAGCTTCCTGGTGAAACTGTTCAAATGACATGCCTATAATGGCTGGCTTCCCCCTTTGCTCCTTTCCTGTTATTAATAACTAGGTTAGTTACAGCAGTATTACTTTCAGGGTGCTAAATGACCTCTGTGTGAACTTAGACCATACTTAGAAATCTCTGAGAAATCAGAGAACAGACAGACCAGGGACAAGGAAGGGCACCCTTCCAGAGCGGGTTGTTACGCAGTTGGTTTCAGTTCTAAAGGGAGTAAAGTCACCTGGAAGGCTGCAGGACTTTGGCAAAACTTGCCATGCAAAGCTACTTTCTTTTTCCTTTTAGAAGATTGGAGGACAATTATAGACACAACATATATGACATCTTCGTTTCTGGAGGATGTTGACTAGTGTCTTTCTGCATACATTTCACACATGGAATTAGTGGGAATTGATGAGTTAACAGGCGTTAATGAGTTAACAGAAGGTTAGTGTCCTTAACCAGAGTCTACATGGCTTGGCTGGCTATGAGTGCTGATTTGGGCTTCCTGGGGCCATACTTTTTGGTGCTTCTGCTGCATAGCTGCAGGAGTGGGGACCCTTTCTTGCCTGTCCTTTGCATTTTCTGAGATAAGTTTCCTTCTTGTTTCCTTATTGAGATAATACTTAGGCTCATTGTGGGCAGGGACAGTGTGTGTGATACACTGATTAGTTTGATTCTGAAAATATTTCGGAGGACTTACTGTGTGTAGGGAACTAAACAAGGTCCCAGGACTGGATGAGAGGGGCTGGTGTCAGGTGTACTCTCCTCTATCCCTGGGCTTTATGCGTTTATTTATTTTGTTTGATCTTCACATATACCTTTGGGAAATATGACCTTTCCAAGGTCAAAATTTAAAAGCAGATGTATCGAACTCCATAGCCCAGGCTTTTTTCACCAAACATGCAGGTTGCAATCTGTTGTATGTAACCTAGGAGAGTCAACCTCACTCGGACACAAAGTTGAGTGAATTAAAGGTGAGCTTTATTACCTGTGCAGGGACTGCAGCCAACCTACGCAGAGGAGAACTGCAGCCCCGAGCTCAGGGGGAGGGTTGCTTATATAGGGCAGGGGTTACTCAAAAGTTTAGCAGAGCAAGCGGGCTACGTGTACAGAAGCGTATATCAGCAGTTAGCCAGGTGCACTACATATATTTTTAACAGTTACAGTTTTATGGGGTAAAGGGAGCTTCAGTTTCTCCCTATCAGTTTATTTACAGAAAGAACATGCAGGACATTCTGGCCTTGGGGCCGTTTCTGTCCTCCCTTTTTCTGAAGGATGTTACTTTTCAAAATTTCAGTGAAAGCCGTCTATAATATCCCCATTGTTTCTCTTGATGTCCAAGGACAAGTTGTTTTTCTTTATTGAATTCCAAGGATAGTGAGCTATAACACAATCCTGCTTTTCTTTTGGAAATAAAACTTCTAGATAAATCAAGAATTATTTTAAAGCAGATTGAAAGTCATATTCTGGGAGTGAGTGGAGCATTTTAATTAGGGGGAAGTTCTGCTGTGTCCTGCATAGGTGCCCACTCAGAAGGGGTTGTAAAGGTGAAGTGCTTTGCTAGCAAGGTAGAGAGAATTTCCATCATTCCACATCCATAAATACCACCTCCCCCTTGGTTCTCCAACTCTGGTGGGCTGGCTATGAAACTGCCTTGGTGGAGGGCAGGGTGTAGAGGGAATTGGGAGATAACTCCCCACTCCCCACTCCTCCGACTCTCACTCCTATGGTGTTCATTGTATGCCAGGTGCTTAAGATACAGTAGCAAAAAGCACAGAACAAATTCCTGATCTCATGTACTCTAATGGGGATAGACAGACAAATAATAGAAGAAAGAAGCTGAAAAGCACTATGAACCATATAGAGTGGGTAGGGGGGACTATGCTTTTAGGGAAGGTGTTGAATATTAAATTGAACAGTCAGAGTAGGCCTCAGTAAGAAGGTAAGGATGGAAGGAACAGCCAGTGCAAAGGACTTAAGGTGGAAGATACCTTGTGCAGTCAAGAATTAGCAAGGAATGGCTCTTGTGAAGGGGCAGAGTGAACTCCTGGGAAAGGAGGAGAGAGTTGACAGGCCAGGTGGTGTAGGGCTAAGAGCCACAGCAAGGGTGAAATGGGGCTGTCACAGGTCTTTGAGCAGGTAGATGCTGTGATCTGACTGTTGTGCTCACATAGGCTGCTGGGTTGAGACTAGACTGCAGGGGACAGGGAGGAAACAGAGAAGAGAAGATGGTGACCTGGACCAGGGTGGTAGCAATGGACATGGGGCAAAGGTGTTCAATGGTCTGTCATTTGGAGGTGGCATCAACATGATTTGCTGGTGGATTGGGAGAAAGAGAATATTTGCATGTGGATGGGAAGGAGCCCAGAAGTGGGAAGAGTTCCTGAAGCCTAGTCTGAATGAAGCAGGGCCCAGTGGAGACTTTATTCAGAGAGAAGTCAGGTGGGTCTTGAGGAGGTGCTTATGCTGGCCTAAGGGGCGACAGAGCCAGTTCCCGGACTGCTTCCTCTTGTTTCTTCTGTGTTCTGTATGAAGCAAGGCCATATGAAATGTTGACATGGCTGCCCTCCATCTCCATTGGACTTGAATGGGAGGGCAACCTTTGGGAGTATAAGAGGGTGTGAGAAGGTCTAACGTGCTGTGACCAGTGATGAAAAGTTCAGGTGAGTGGAGTCTCTGGGGTGCTCTTAGATAGCAGGTGATTGCAAAAGTTCTTGCATTAGCTGTATTTATATTTTAATTTTGATTTAATACTATGACCTTTTCTAATATCCCAGGACAGTTTTTTTTCTCTTAACCTTTGTTTTCTGGCAAAGAAGGATATTATTAGAATGAACCCTCTTTATCAAATGGACTTATGCATGTTGTAGGTTCTCAGTAAATACTTTCTTCGTGTATTTTCTATAGACAAATCCTTATAATTGCATTATTTTACAGCTTTAAAGAACCCCCTCTCTTGCTTGGTGTTCTGCAACCAAATACAAAATTACGGCAAGCGGAAAGGCTATTTGAAAATCAACTTATTGGGCCTGAGTCCATAGCAAATATTGGGGGTAAGTAAACCCTTGGAACTGCAGAGTGGGGTGCCTTCCAGGCTGTCTGTTGCTTGAAGTGGGGATTCTGCAGGAGCAGCCACCATGGTACCCTGCTCCTGGTTGGGAGAGCTTTCTACATCCTTAGCTGTGGATGTAGGATGTGCATATGCTTGTTGAGCAGACACCCCATGGGAGCATCTTGGCTCTCTGAGTTGTGGGCCATTTTAGTACTAGGTGATTTTGAGTTTATATCTATGGAATACTGTATTCTGCTCAAAGTATTGAACCTATTAAAATTGGAGGAGAAATGAAAAATGCAGACATGATGTTTAGTTCATTTATCAAAGTTAGGTAGGTATTTCTTTTTTCTTTTATTTTTTTATTAATTAATTTTTGTTACAGATGTTTCTCCTTTTTCCCCAACTGATTCCCCCCTCCCCTTCCCTCCCTGCCCCTTCCCCAGTTTGTTGTCCATGTCCACTGTTCATGCATACATGCATGTAAGTTCTGTGGTTTATCTCTTCCCCACCACCCCCCATTTAGGGGATTGTCAGTCTGTATCCCATTTCCGCGTCTCTGGGACTACCCCTTCCTCAGGCTGTTATGTTCATTATATTCCACAAATAAGTGAGATCATATGAAACTTGTCTTTCTCTGTTTGGCTTGTTTCACTTAGGATGATACTTTCCAGATCCCTCCATGTAGTCTCAAAGGATAAGAGGTCTTTCTTTCTTACAGCTACGTAGTACTCCATTGTGTATATGTACCACAGCTTTTTTATCCATTCGTCTACTGATGGACACTTGGGCTGTTTCCAGATCTTAGCTATTGTAAATAGTGCTGCTACAAACATGGGGGTACATATATTCTTTCTGATTGGTGTTTCAGGCTTCTTAGGGTATATTCCTAGAAGCGGGATCACTGGTTGAAATGGAAGTTCAATTTTTAATTTTTTGAGGTAACACCATATTGTTTTCCATAGTGGCTGTACTCCCACCAACAGTGTACTAGAGTCCCCTTTTCTCCACACCCTCGCCAACACTTGTTGTTTGATGATTTGTTGATGGCCGCCATTCTGACAGGTGTGAGGTGATAGGTAGGTATTTCTTGACAGGACATTGTTTCTTAGCTTGGTTTGCCTTCATATAGATTTTACTTTTGAAAAGAATATGAACAGTTTTCAATATTTCCACTTTGTTTTTCTTCAGACTTGCTCAAACCAAGAACTAGAATTGGATCTAGTTCTAATCCTTGAGTTTCTAGCAACCGGAAATAAGTCATTTTCTATTAAAATGAGGATTAAGCTTTGGAATCAAAAGATGAAGTTGCTGTACTTAAAAAGGTATGAGGATTTCTGAGAAGCTTAACTTAAGTACTCTGCTCCTCATTCCAAAATACAGTATGTTTTCTGTGAAGTAGTGTGGACAGTTGCATTGGGGGTGCTCCTCTGTTTTATTTTGAAGACAGGTCAGGGCCTTCTCTGATATTGACCACTTGTCTTTCCCAGCCTTGCTGTTGGAGGCAGGAGTCAAAGACTGGTGCATTTCTGCAATTGTTTGGCTGGCAAAGTCAAAATTGTTTCAGGAGGGATAGGTACTTCATGATAGAACTTCATATTTCCTCTAAACAGATATTGACATTTATTAATAATACATTGTACAAATTTTGTGGGGGTTTTTTTGGTGAAAAATAAAATATTGGAAATAAAAACTGGAACTTGGAGGAGTTAAAGTGATTTTTTAAAAACTTTCAAAGATAATGCTTTTTTTTCCCCCTTTCCACTTGGACTAACGTCTCATTGTACTCTGTCACCAGATAAAGGAGTTGGTTATCTTCTTGGTGACATTTCTGGTTAGGTACAGAGGGGGCCTCTCTAGTTAGCCTCCTGCAGGTGTGAACCCCAGGAGGCCCCCACGGACCCTTTTCGGCTGCCTCATTTGAAAGTTGTCCGGAGGGATGGCTGGCATGTTGCTGACATTGGAGGGAGGCACCAGCCCCAGGAGGTACTTGCGTAATCAATCACCAGTTAATGTGTTTTAATTTTTTTTAAATAGACTTTATTTTTTAGAGCAATTTTAGGTTCACAGCATATACACAGCTTCCCCAATTATCAGTATGTCACACTAGATGCTGTATTTGTTACAGTTGACACATTATCATCACCTAAAGACCATAGTTTGCATTGGAGTTCACACTCTTGGTGTTGTATATTCTGTGGGTGTGGACAAATGTATAATGACATGTATCCATTAGTTTAGTATCATACAGAGTAGTTTCACTGTCCTAAAATTCCTTTGTGCTCTGCCTGTTCATTCCTCCTTTCCCTCAACTTGTCCTGGCAAGTACTAATCTTTTTACTGCTTCCATAGTTTTTGTCTTTGCCTGAATTTTATATAGTTGGAATCACACAGCATATACCTTTTTCAGATTGGCTTCTTTCACTTAGTCATATGCATTTAAGGTTCCTCTATGTCTTTTCATGCCTTCATAACTCTTTCCATTTTATTCCTAAATAATATTTCATTTTCTAGACATATTACAGTTTATCGAAGGACATCTTAGTTGCTTCCACGTTTTGACAATTATTAATAAACTGTTATAAATTTCTGCATCTAGATGTTTGTGTGGACATATTTTCAACTTATTTGGGCAAATACTAAGAGCACAATTGCTGGATCTTACGGTAGGAGTATATGTTGTTTTTTAAGAAACCACCAAACTGTCTTCTAGAGTGTCTGTAACATTTTGTATTTCCAGCAGAATTAAGTGAGAGTTTCAGTTGCTTTATATCCCGGCAAGCATTTGGGGTGCCAGTGCTGTGGATTTTGGCCAGTCTAATAGGTGTGCAATGAGACTTCCTGTTGGTCTACATTCTCATCAGCATTTGTGTTGTCATGTTCCCGATTTTGGCCATTCTAATCTGTATGTTGTGGTATGTCATTTTTTTAAATTTGTAGTTCCCTGATGATATACAATGTTGAATATCTTTTTTAATCAAACTTATTTTTATTGTTGAGTGTATTACAGCTGTCCCCCATTTTTGCCCCATTTAACCCCCCTTCTTTCTGCTTCCACCTTTCTCTCTCTTGCTTTCCCCACACTATTGTTTGTGTCCATTGGTTATGCCTATATGCATATAACTTCTTTGGTTTGTCTCTTCCTGCCAACCCCCTCCCCTTTGAGGTTCATCAGTCTAACAACCAATTTGTACTTCTTAATCCTTTCACCTTTTTCACCCATTAACCCCCCTCCCATCTGGTAACCAACAAAAAGTTCTCTGTATCTATGAGTCTGTTTCTGTTCTGCTTGTTCATTTGGTTTGTAGATTCAGTTGTTGATAGATATATATTTATTGTTCATATTTTTGATCTTCAAGAAGACCCTTTAACATTTCATATAATACTGGTTTTGTAGTGATGAACTCCTTTAGCTTTTTCTTATCTGGGAAACTCTGTATATGTCTATCAATTCTAAATGATATCTTTGCAGGATAGTGTAATCTTGGTTGTAGGTCCTTGCTTTTCATCACTTTGAATATTCCTTGCCACTCCCTTTTGGCCTAAAAAGTTTCTTTTGAGAAATCTGCTGACAGTCATATGGGAGCTATGTTGTCTTTAATACATGTAGATATGTTGTGTCCTGTAGCGTCCAGTGACAAAGACTTCCTGATCACCCCATCTGGTGATCAGGTGCACCCCTAGTGTGGACTGTATACCCTTCTATTGTAACTGAGTCTTGATTACTGTTGGCACATCAATGAGAAGGATTTACTGGGGCTGATAAGCTGCAATGATTGACTGTGCCCACTAACCACTGACCTTTGACTACCTTTGATGATAAGCGGTACAGGGGCCCACCACACAGAGCAAAACTTACTTCAGCAGGGCTCTGGTACCCACTGAGTTCATTTCTTGAGTGTGTCAGTTGTTCAGGTGGGTAGGTGGTATTGCTGCGATGTGGTCTGAAGCTGTCCACTGGGTGTGCTAGCTCTGGTTCAAGGTCAGCCACTACCTGTGTTCTACCCAGGACCACCAGGCATAAGCTACAAAGCCATCTGCAGGTAGCTGCTTCTTGTGCTGGGCTTGTAGGTGCCCAGGCAAAGCCATGCTGTGAACCAAGGCTGGCTGTTTCTAATGCCAGATGTGGGGCCACTTAGTGAGCGGTATGGGACTCACTGAGGCCAGATGCTATTTGTTTGAGAGAATTTAGGAAAATCTGAAGTGGGAACCAGGTCAGGCCAATCCTATGGTAAAATCTGGAAACAGCTTGGGTGGGCCTGAAAGTTGGGTGGGGCAGCACCTCAGGGAATCACCAGGTCTGGGCAAACAGTATGAGCCAGGTTGCTGGAGTCCCAGATGTGCCAATAATATGTAAAGAACTCTTAAAACTCAACAATAATAACACGATTTTAAAATGGCCAGAATATTTAAAAAGATGTCTCAACAAAGAAGAAATATATTTTCATGTCTCCTGGCCATTTGTATGTCCTGCTTGGAGGAGTGTCTAGGTCCTCAGCCTATTTTTTGAATGGATTCTTTGTCTTCCTTTTCTTGAGTTATATGCATACTCTATATATTTTGGATATTAACCCCTTTTTTGATGCATGGTTGGCAACTTTGTTCTCCCAAAGAGTGAGTTCCCTTTTCATTTTGATGCTGGTTTCTTTTTTTTAATCTTTATTGTTGGATGTAGAATGTATTACAGATGTTCCTTATTTCCCCCCCATTGACTCCCTCCTCCCCCCTCCCGCCCCCCTCCTGCCTTTTTCCACACTATTGTCTGTGTCCATTGGTTATGCCATCCTGGGGAAGGGTTCACCAAAGGAACAGTTGCTTCCCAACAGCACATCTGTCCAGGAGAAAGCTGCTCCTCCATCTCTTGCCCCAATACCAAACAATTCAGTTCTTCCCCGTATGTCTCTGGTGCCTTTCAAACTATGTCCCTCATGTTGGAGACTGGAGGGAGCGAGTCTGAGTATGTCTGTGTGCAGGCTCTTTAACAGGAACTGCCTGGGACTC